ACAATGTTTAAATAAATCTGCCTATCAATAATAATAAAAAATCATAGAAGAAATATAGTACCTACTATTCACTGTTAAAATCTGCTGTAAGATACTTTTTAAACGAAAGACATAGCTTTTATTTTTGTTTATTATAATAAGCAATAAAAGTTTATATTATCCTTTATAATATCATTATATTAATACATATAAAATGATCTAAATACCTAATCTGATCAAAGATATAATTACGTTGTATTCTATAGTACAAGTATAAACAGTAGATCCATACACGTTCTCTTTATTGTTTACAGACATAAAGTACGGAAGCCATAAAGGATTTGCTAATAACTCATTAAAGCTACCTCTTTGATATAATCAGATAATAACTCAAACTAATCTTCCACTAACTTTCAAGGATTTCTACAAATATTTATAGTATTTATGTAAGATAAATACTGTGTACATGAAAAAATTAATAAAGAGGAAATGACTTATTTAAGTAGATACGAAATTTTTCAGTGGGATATATTATAATGTAATTAAATTCATTCTATTTTCAAATATTTAAATTAGTAACGGCAATAAAGATATACCTACCAATAAAAATCATCTTCAAGCTTATATACAGTTATGTATGTACATTGAGACGTAACATTATAGGCACTAGATATATAAATAAATTATAATTCAAAATTACCATATCAATTTCTAGTCTGATAAAAATAGTAAGTAGGTACAAAATCTTTTATTGTTAAGTAGTGTAAATTCTACTAACATTATAAATGTGAAAATTATTAAAGATGTTTGAATATTTGTTACTCAATGAACGAATTTGTATGAAAGGTTCACAAATTGGCCATATCTTGGAATAACATATAGCACAGTTTTTATTCAACTTAAATCACGGGCTAAACTGCGAGCTACAACTAGCAAAATAATAAATATCTGAGATCATAGAGGCATTACCATGACACATCGCTGAATAGTAATTTTTGTGACACACGGTGTACTTCCAATCCGTCAGCTTGTTTTTCCTTATACAAACTTAGTAGATACAAAAGCATGTTGAAAGATTTTCGAAAGGGAAACCATCAGCAATAAATAAGACAATTCATGGTTATAAATGGTATTGCATAGATAGATTGTTTCATAGATAAAGTCTAACAACAATGTGTATGTAACACCAATGGATCGCAGAGGATTGCGCCCAAGAAGCGGGCGCAGTGGGGCGGCGCCGGCGCATGCTCCGTGGTCAGTCCGCGTATCCACTTGGATTGTATTACTTGTGTTAAAATTTTCATAAAAATAAAGTTATATTGCATTTGGGATTCTTGTGCCTCATTTGAAAATATATTTACGAGAGAGTAATTTTTGTGTCAGTGATGGATTATACTTAAATGTGGATAAAGTGTTTGGACTTCTGAAAGTACCCACTGGATGTGTTTGTAAATATTATGTATAAATATCTTCCAATATAAGTTTGGTGAGTGTGTCATATTTTGTAAAGATTTTTTTATTCTTTAGATTAATTTTTATATCGAAATTATCTATTATAAAATTATAACGAAACATCTCATACTTGGATTCATATAGGCTAAACTCTAAAGTTCATTTACATACAAATAAATTTAGTAGAAAAATTCTATATTTATATAATTACCATCAGACGGGCTGTATGCTTGTTTGCTAACTTTGTGGTATAAAAAAGACTAATATGTAGAGTAAAGCTTAGATAGATAGATAGATAGATAGAAAGAAACTCTTTATTGTTTCCTCCAAAAGATTACAATAGTAAACTTATTATAATTATAAACAATTACTTGCTAAAGCTTACTTAATGGAATTATATTTTTTCTGAGTTAGACCCTTGTTACATTAAAAATATAATTAAAAACAACTTGATATCATGAACTTTTCCAACAATCTATATTTTACTAAAATCTCATAACAGAAATTGCAAATTAAATATTTAATATTTCATTATTCTTGTAATTTTTATATAGAGCAATATCAAGAGTAAAAAGTTATGTTATTTGGTGTTATTTTTTAAATATATTTATTTGTATTCTGTTATTTTCTACGAATAAATAAATTGATAAATCGCACGGCTCTCGTGAATAATCGTACTCATGAATAAGGCACCTATACAATACGAAACTAGTAGAGCAACCCCGAATTTAAATAGGTACATGTGTAAAATCAATAGAATTACTATTCTATTGATTTTACACATGTACCTATTTACTATTCTATTCTACTAATACTTATTATAAACTAGCAATCTGACTTGATTTCGCACGAGTAGACAGAATTTTCGAAAATCAATACATATAATAAAAAAGTTTCAACTAATTCAACTGATTGGTTATTTTATAGCATTTTACATGTGATTCTTTAGATTGATATAACTTTTTTATTTATGTACCGATTGAAATAAAACAAACATTAAATGTTAAGTGGCAAACCGAACATATTAATGAAAACCGCAATCAAATCGGTTAAATCGTTTCCGAGATTAACGTGCACAAACGTACAGATATTTTGGGTTGTATTGCGTTCATAAAATATATAATAACTTTTCTTATATATATTCTATGGTACATACAGCAACCAATTACGATTTTGTTATATGATTAATGTGAAAGTTTGTAAACATGTTTATATGTTTGTTTCTCCTGACTGAAATGAGGTTTAAATGAAATTTAGTATATGGATAGGTTATATAAAACTTAACATAGAATACTTTATATACAGATGCATACGAGCAGAGCCGCGAGAAATAGCTAGCATTAACATAAAAATAAAAAAGATACAATTACGACACAATACGGCAGATACATCACTATTTACGTTATAAGTGGAAATTTATCTCAATTTAAGACGCTTACCTAATCAAGGTATGAGCAAATATTATTAAAACAAGGTTAATACATCAATGATATGACTTTCTAAACTTATACCGACTAATATGGAATATTATTTCTTTTTTTTTTTAAATAAGTAGATACTTACATACTTTTAATTTCAACCGACACGGTTCATGATCTTGTGGGCCGCGTATTAACATACGGCCAGTCTCCTCTAGAGAACTATGAATCTTCAAAACCCCATTGTGTTAAATAAAACTTACGCAACAAACACTTTACAGTTACTCCAACTGTAGTAAGTAGTAGATATAATGATTATTTGAATTGTTACTTATCTTACACATAATATCTAAATTGTTTTGTATTAAAATTATTATTTTCTAATGCCATTCGATGTCCGTAATTGTTGCCAAAATTGTAAACATCTTAACAACTAGTTAATATCCAACTATTGAGTATCCTAATTTCACTCCATAAAAGAAGAATATTAGTGTCCCTTTATCATGGTAGTGTTGGCGTACGCTTGGTTTTATTTAGACAATTTTATTTTCTAGATATATTAATTAGGCATACGATTGAACTATATACGAAATTTCATTTTAAAGATAGTTATCTAGATGTTTATCATTAAAGCGTAATTGAATAACAAACATACACAAGATTATTACAAATACAAGCAAGGTAACATAAGAAGTAAGCTAAGTGAATTTATATAAATTTATTTGCTCAATTTATTGTTAAGAATTTAACTTCTTCATAGATTAATTTCTATGTAATTTTTAAACATTTTTTTTGGAATTATAATCAAAATGATTGATTATAATTTAGTAATTATTTCCATAGTAATTGCGATTTACCCGAATAGTTCTGATATTGAAAATTTAAAATAATCCAAACAAGCTTAGTTTATTCAATTCACTTTTTATTACATACTAGAGGCCCGTCCCGGCGTCGCACGGATGAACATTTTTACATTTTAAAAAGTGGCCATTAAGGCTGCACACGCGACGGAAGCTTAAAAATGGAGTAACTTCTGCCGTTTTCCCAACATTTCCCTTCACTGCTCTGCTCCTATTGATCGTAGCGTGATAAAAAGTATATTATAACCTGCCCAGGAGTATGAAGAATACCATAGTATGAAGAGTACCAAGTTTCGTTAAAATCCTTCGAATAGTTTTTGTTTCTATAACGAACATACAGACAGACAAAAATTTTACTGATTGCATTTTTGACATCAGTATTGATCACTAATTATCCCCTGATAGTTATTTTGGAAATATATTTCATGTACAAAATTGACCTTTCTACAGATTTATTATAAGTATACATTTTATATACTGTTCCTTAATTTAATTATGTTATACTCTAGCTATTAGTATTCTATATTAAATGTAGAATATAATTTATATTTTTTTTTTTACAAATATGTTATGTTTTATCTTGTACGAATATTAAATATAATTGTTTATTAACTGTTATATTTGACACAGTTCATTATATTAGCAGCCAACGTTGCATATTTATACTATCTCTACTACACGCTTTGATGTAGCAATGAATTCTTTCCTTTAATATTTTTTAATACGCAAATTAATATACTGTCCTATCCTGTGCCATAGTTTGTACATTATGTAAATATTTTGTAGGACATCTCCATATATCAGTAGGATTCTCGTGTAACGCGCTTGTACAAGCCCGTATAACACATTATGTACAAATGATTCACATTTAACTTTTCTTGTTAAAGGGGGTTAAAATCGAATATTAAGAAAATCCTATGTTACAAACGAAATATATGTGTTTTACTAAAATCTAATTAAAAACATTTTAAATAAAAAACGTATGCATGTGTAACTAAAAAACAGTTTTTTCAAATAAATTAATAATTAACAGTTTTATTACATGTTTATTCGCTGTCGGCGTTATCTGAAATAACGTTCCACCGACATCTTTTTTTTAATAGAATGTTCAAATCCCTGCGTTATATGGGAGAATACCCGTGTTATACGAGGGATTAAAATCGCGTAATATGAAAATGCGTTATAAGAGTACCGTGTTATAGGGGGATTTCTGTACTACACTACAAGTAACAGTACATCTTTTATGTAATAAATTTTGAACTGATAAAAATATTTACTAATTTGGTTTCAGGTTGGAAGAATTATATGTAAGCGAAAACGAGTTGATAACACTAGATTGCATCCTGAAACTACCGCGGCTACGGATCCTCGTAGCTGATCACAACTTGATTACTACTTTTGGAGTTAGTATTACTCGTAAATAGTTCTACAACACAATATATATTTAACCATATAATTGAACAATTGGCAATTACTGTTTTTATTTTATATCACAAACGTGGCAAACAAGCATATACCTCGTCTGATGGTAAACGGTTACTCTAACCTATGGACGCTTGCAACGCTAGAACTGTCGCATATCACAATGAAGAAACCTTAATACTTATACCCTTTTTAAAAAATACCATGCGGATTCTAGATCTATATTGTCAGAGAAATATTATTTATATATAATAATTATATTATGTGTAATAATCTTCTACTTTTTGAAAAAAAAATTTACAATTAAATAAAATATAATATTTAGACTTTCTTTTCGGATAATAAACTCGTTTTAGTTTGAATTAATTTTTATCTCAAAAAAAAAAAAACAAAAATTTATATGTAGATTATTTTATGTACGAAACTTTTGACATATAAATTCCACTCACATTTAACACACTGAAGTCAATGAATAGTGTCTATACCTAAAGTACAGTAGAATAAAAAATATGTGTATAAAAAATTTCAGTCTAATAACGTACAAATGGGTCTTGAGGAAGAAAATAAGACTGAATATCGCGCTCCACTCACCAGCGTAGACCTTCGCCACAACAAATTGAAAGGAAGCATTATACTTGGCAACTATGAAGTAAGTTCCGTTTAATATAATGATAATTTTGTTTATTTATATACAAAGCCACGCAATTTATTAACATTGAAAACGTCATTGGTTAGTTAAATTTTTAAGTTTATAGAATTTATCTTGAAATCATATTAAATACACGGTTCTTATCGGCTACTTCTCGTTATTCTTTAATTTACAATGAATTACTTTGGGTAACTCTGTCATATTTGTGTTTCTACCATGAAGCTGTTATTATTGTATGTATTTCGATTTGAGAAGTGGGATATGGCCATGAAATTACAGAGTACAGAGGCATAACACCTTATTCCTCAGGAATGGCAACGCTTTAAGGGCATTATAGCTGACACAGTACACTCTGGATATAATCCATAGTACTGTCAATGTCAATAGATGACAGTTGCCCTTTTCCATGAGTCCATCAATTTCCTATTCTATAATTTTATTAAAAAAAAAATTAACGAAATATTATAATTTTTGTTAGTATTTATATAAATACTTATTTTATCACATCAAAATTAGATTTTGACTAAATTTGAGACCAACACGAAAGCAAATCCTTTTGATTGCAAAACTAAAATCCAAATCGGTTCAATATTGGTCCCTTACATATGAAGAGAGGTTAAAAAGGAAACTATACTTTTAATTGTATTTTCTTGTATTTCTACTATTTCACTATTTAAAAGTAGGTGAAATGGAATGATCACAAAACTGTTTAAATAAATGTTTTAAAAAATGTAAATAATTCAATCGTTCAGATTTATGTTTTGGTTTATAAGTAATGAATATACGTCAGTTTTAATTTATATTGATTGATTTAGATGAATAATGTAATAGTATATATGTTTGAATTTTTTACTAATAATTCAGAATAATAATTCATCGTGATAGACTAGCAAACCATTCTTATAAAATTTGTTAATCTTATTCATAATCTCCAGCTGTTCCAAACAGTCACTATTTACCGACATTTTTAATTTTACATATTGTATGTACAAATGGTCCAAGTTTAATTTAATATCTTCTTAATTAATTATTTTAATGTTTTAATTTTATTTTTTTACTTCTTTTTACAATTACTATTTTATTGTTATTTATAAATAAAATATAATAACATAATTCACACTAAATAAATTAATCCGTATAGTAATCGAACTTTCAATTATTCCAGCACTTGGTATCCTTGGATGTTTCACACAATGCCGTAGAAGTGTTGGTAGTGTCAGCATTACGAGGCCTTCGAGAGTTGTACGCTGCACACAATGCCCTTCAGCACTTAGCACTACATGGTGCTTCATTGCGTATATTGCGAGCACCACATAACCGTAAGTAAAATGTTGTGAATATTTATATAGATATTTTAAAAATTTTGCCTAAGTAAAAAATTGCCAAATAAAAGATGTCGGCCAATTTTTTCCAAGTTACCACTACGCTGTACCTATTCAGACGTTTTAGCCACCGACAAAATGTAACGACGTCCGTTATAGCTTTACTTCCACACGAACTAATACCTTATTAGTTAGTCGGAACATTCGGAATTTTCCAGCTGTAGTAATAAATATATCCCAGTGCCTACCAATATTTCAAATGTGAAGGTGTGATTAAATTTCTTCAAGTTTAGTAATATACTTAATATTTCACACATTCCATAAGATACGATAACAATTTATAAGTGTAACGTATTCTTTCTTATTTGGTATATATAATAATTGGATTATTTAGGGCATTGTTTCTCAACTATTTTTATGTTGTGACCCACGACAAAAACAAAAGCAACCAAAAACTTAAATAAAAAGTCTGGCGACCCCGTTACTATAGATTATAATATAATTCTTATTAATAGTTTCACTAATTAGTAATAGATAAATATAATGAAAACAAAGTCCTACCCTTGTATCGACTACTACCCCACCACTACCTTAACAATAAATGGTAACTAGTGACGACCAAAAAAATAAAAAAAATTGAATAAAATTGGTAGTCCAATGATTTGGATATTCATTCGAATAATCGGAATCAATTGCACAGTCAAATAACTAGCAGTCGTGTTAGTAAAGTCGCGCATCACTACTTTAAACGAATCTTTTTATATCTTATTATTTTTCATCAGCCTGCAACCCCTTTAATAACAAACGCGGACCCCCTCCTGGGGTTCATTAACCTCCCGGTTGAAAAACAATGATTTAGAGAAATTTCTCTTTTCTATTACTATTATTATAATATAAAATTTTCCTCAATTAAATTACATAACTACATATCAATAATCAATAATTATACTATAACTACATATAAATATACTATAACTACATATCATATAAATGCAATCCTTTTTATTTTCAGAAATAGAAACGCTGACATCTACAGTACCGCCCATAAATTTAATAGAATTGGATGTATCCCACAATAAATTAACTTCACTTCCACACTGGCTGAGTGGTTGCTCAGATTTAACAACACTTTATGCAAACAACAATCAGCTAACTTCGCTCCCAGAACATTTATTTTGCAGTGAACTTTCCAGCCTCAGTAAACTACATTTAGCGCATAATAAAATATCCAATATTCCATCGATGCCAAGATTAAGAGCTCCATTAAAAGAATTATTACTTCATGATAACTGTATACAAGCACTACCAGAAAACTTTTTTTCAGTTTGTGACAGACTGCATATATTGAATCTATCTAACAACAGATTGAATCGGTTACCTCATGCTAGAGGCCCATCATCGCATTGTCTGGAACGTCTTTATCTAACGGCGAATTGTCTAACTGATGATGTTGCTGATGTTATTATTGCATTTCGTGGATTAAAAATATTACACATAGCGTACAATTGTTTGACAAATTTACCTGATAGTTGTATTAATTTTTGGCCTGAAATTGAAGAACTTGTTCTATCTGGGAATTCTTTTTCGAGACTACCAGAAAATTTGCCGCAACTGAATAATATCAGAATTGTGCGCGCTCACTCGAATAGACTAAGATCAGTACCTATGTTTGCATGCAGTGCTTCAGTGAAAATTTTGGATTTCGCACACAATGAACTTGATAGTATAGATTTAAGACTACTAGCCCCAAAACAATTAAAGTTCCTCGATATTTCATGTAATAAAAAATTGCAGATAGATCCCTCGCAATTTAATGTATATAGGTGTCAAAGACCTTTGAGTCTGGTTGATGTTACAGGTAGAAATGCATTACCTTATACACAAAAAAGTGGTTATCATGAAGAGTTAAGTGGTTCAACCCCATGGACTACTGGGTTCTCAGAATGCCCTAATAAATCACTTCAGTTATGTTGTGCTCAAATTAGATTACCATCTTTTTGTAACAAAGAAGGTCTATTCGCTATTATTGATGGTGAAAATGACACAGAAGTACCAAAAATATTGCAAAAAAATTTACCTGGTCTTTTACTCGAAGAAAAGTCTATAAAGGAGACCGTGAACGAATACATGAAATATGTTGTCTTATCTGCACACAGGGAATTAAAAGAAAAAGGGCAAAAGAAAGGAGCCTGCTTGATAATGTGTCATTTAACACCAATGTCCTTGCCAGAAAATGGCTTTGGGCAGATATCCAAACGATATAACTTAAAACTTGCTAATGTGGGTGATACTAAAGCTATATTGAGTAGACGAAACGGCCCCTTGAATTTAGGTATAGGAAATAATAAACGCTTAGGCTATTCTTCACGTTATCCTAATACTGTACCTGACCCTGATGTTATTCAAACAGTTATTAAAGAAGATGATGAATTTTTAATAATGGGTAATGGAAAATTTTGGAACGCTGTCAGCATAGATACTGCAGTTTCTGAAGTGAGAGCTGAACGTAATCCAGTACTTGCAGCAAAGAGATTACAAGATTTAGCACAAAGCTATGGTGTAGAGGATTGTATATCAGTTCAGGTAATACGATTTGATACTGCCCGAGCCGACGTTGATTTGCTAATGCGTGAATTAAGACAAACTATATGTAGTAGTAATAGTAGTAATAAATCTATATGTCGTCCCGATTGCTGCTGCTCTAGAATAGAAGCATGTTGCCATTCTGCAACTCCGCCCAAACCAAGTAGTGATCGATCGTCTCCCAGTGGCCAAAGTGACCGTCCTCCGAGTGAAGCAGTGAGTCATCAACATTATGCCAGCGTTAGATCACAGAACAGAGCCTCTGAACGGAGAAGTTGCCGTGGAGGAGTAGCTAGGGCAATACGTGTTCGAGTCGATGAAGATAAAGAAGATGATTCAAGAAATGATGAACTACCGTCTTCCGATGAACAATTCAAGTGTTGGGAGTATATGTTAGAACAAAATACGCAGATGTTATTTGACAAAGAATTAGATAATATTTCAAAGGGGATCAAATCCAATGTTAGTAGTTTACGAAATATAAAAGGTTTATCGGGCAGTAGTCCACAACTTCATTTATCAGGCAAACAGTCTAAGGGTGTTCCATTTTTATCGAAGCATTTCGGGAGCGCTAGATCTTTTGGAACAGCATTAAAACCTGATTTTCGTTTTGGTTCTGGTAGATTACCAAATGGAGGTCCAAATGCTGCATATTTTGGTTCATTACAACGTTTAATGCCTTATCATTTAGAATATGACTTTGCTGTGATACAAGAAAAGACAGCACAATCTCAAGACTCGTTGGATCTTGAAGGTCGGATGCAGCAGTACTGGGGAGTGGCTACGACAGAATTGTAAACATTTTTAGCTAATTAACTTTGTAAATAAAACTACAGATTATGTAGCATATTTAGTGTGTATAATTATTTATGTATAATATGTACCATTCATCTGTCGACTAGATTTTTTGCACAAAGTATTTTAATCACTATGGACTTACAGAGAACTAAAATTACTTATATTTATCACATTAATTTTATGTACAGTATTATAATACTATCTTTTGTATGTTTAAGCTTATTTTGTAATTAAAATATAATAAAAACAATGAAAACTATTTCATTTTAATATTACAAAAATTAAGATATATTCCACTAAAGAGCTTACATTTTATTTTCTACAGTACAATATTTACAGCTATGTAACTAAACTTTCTAGACATAAGGCGATAAATTTCATCAATTTTGTGTTCGAAAACCACACACATTATAATCTATTTTATTTACATGTTGTATGCCATACTGGGGACGTAACTTATATACATTATGATTTATAAGATCATAGAAAAACTATAACTATAATAATATCTACTATAATCGACATATTAAGATATTTCTACAGGGCGTAGGTAGTTGGACTCTGGGATTATATACATGTTTTATTGTAAAATACTAAAAATTAAAATATTTTTTATACCACTGAGGTGGCAAATAAGCATACGGCCCACCTGATGGTAAGCGGTTACCGTAGCCTATGAACGCCTGCAAAATCGAGGATATTACGCGCGCGTTGCCAATCAAATATCAATGGAACTTATTTATTAGATGGTAGTTAAATAAAAACGATATTAAAATAGATCCATTTTAAATTCCTTTAGACCAAGTAATTCTTAAAAAAATCTTAATTTCTTTGTTTTATTGTTTTTAAATTAAATAAATAAATAAATAAAAATATTATGGGTACATTTGTTGTGCGTCACACAATTTATTATTTGTATAAAATATTTGGGAGAATTTGTTTTAAAAACTAACCGTTCTCCATAGTATTTGGGAATTCAGACCATTCCTTGGATTTACATGTCTCTTTTTACAAAGTGATGTCTTCGTAATGATCACAGCTCACGCTTGACCACTAATTCGAGTGGTTGTGCGAGACCTTGAGGGTAGGGCGCGGGGAGCGGCGGGGGCGCGGGCTGCGCATGCGCCGGCGGTGGCCGCCGCTAGGGAAAGCCCCTCGGGGAGTAGTGGTGAGGTTCTCCAAGCCACGAGTCCGGTGACGGGGGAAAGTCGGGGTATCCACCCGCCGCTGGTGACGAAGAACTACTGAGATCCGATGCACCACCCGCGCCCGTGCCGCCTATGCCTGCCCCACTCATTGCTTGACCTATTAAAACAGAAAACAGTATTCAGTATTCGAACATTACTATTTACACAATATAAGACTTGTCATTTTTTTTAAACGGTTTTATTTATTTTTAAATAGACTTTAATTATGTTATGAAACTCTAAGTTGTAGACAAATTTAAAAAAAAAAAAAACAAACACAACCATGCAATAAATACTTCGGCACTTATTGTTAAATGTTTCTACCTATAGGTGTAAGGCAATATAAATTGCTTATTTTACAATATAATGTATCAAGTCACTGTGTATTTAACATATTAACTGTTGCTATTGATACCGCTTCAATGAGTGAAAATAGAATAATTTAATCTCCGACAACTTGTTTGTTAGTTAGACTGCATTGTTAGTTACGTGGACTTGCAACCCTATTATTAGCATTATACTTTGTCAGGATTACCTCTACAAAGGTCCTTTTGGAAACAACTCGTGGTTAATTCTTGTTGAATACATCACAACGGGCCAATTGATCTGACTTCATTCTCACATGTGATCACTCATTGATGCCCCGCCAATATATACCGATAGTAGTAACGGAGTTAGGTACCTCTGTCCCATTCGTGTTTCAACCGTGAAGCAATTGTGTTTACATAGCTGTGTTTCGGTTTGAAGGGCGTGAATTTACAGGATACAGAGGAATAATATCTGAGTCCTCAGGAATGGCAACGCATGGGAGGTATCATGGGCGAAACAGTATACTCCGTTATGTCCATGGTACTGCTCATATCTATAGACGACGGTTACTACTTTCCATCAGGTGGGCCGTCAGCTTGTTTGCCATTCTAAATTGTATAAAAAAAAACATAAAAAAGTTGTCGTTTCAACCAACTTCAAAAAGAAGGAGATTCCCAATTCGATTGTATTTGTTTACGTTTGTTACCTCGTAACTTCGTCAGTTGTAAACCGATTTAGAAAAATTCTTTTTTATCTGAAAGGATATACTTACAGATATATCCATATAAATTTTATCAAAATCGGTTTAGTAGTTTAGTTTTAAATAAAAATAACCGTTTTTGCCATAATTGAAGTCAGTTTCAACAAATTTTAAATACAATCTTACAAATAAACTAACAGCCCACCTGACAGAAACATGAACACACTGATGCATAGAATACACCGTGATACCCATTGCACTTCTATGTCTTTGTAACCTGTATTTCTACTACTATATCGGTTTGAAGGATGCCGTTATGATGTATGGTTTACGACAGAAACACCAGTGGAACAGAGGTACCGATACGGACTTTTATCAGTTATATATAAAATCCTTAGATTGTATAGAGTTAAAAAATCATCGAGTCTCAAAAACTGGACAACTTTTTGTCAACTAATTGTTAAATTAACTGACTTGTATTTTTTTTAGTGTTCTATATACTTACGCACGCAAAGTATCTTGACGTATTTATATTTAATAAATAAAATGAGTTTTTTTGCATTAAAAAAGTCTAAAAATTATAAGACAAATAAATGTAGAAGTTATAAAGTAATCATTCATTCTTATTTATTACGCAAAATTGTATAAAAAAATTTACCCGTTTTTCTTGAAGCATTTGTATGGATACATTCTATCCATATAATCTATACTTATAATAAATCTTTACAGAGGCCAATTCTGTACATGAAATATATTTCCAAAATAACTAACAGGGGGTGATTAGTGATCGATACTAATGCTAAAAATGCAATCAGTAAAATTTTTGTCTGTTTGTCTATATGTTCGTTATAGAAACAAAAACTACTCAACGGTTTTTAACGAAACTTGGTACAAATATTCTTCATACTCCTGGTCAGGTTATAGTATATTTTTCATCACGCTACGATCAATAAGAGCAGAGCAGTGAAGGGAAATGTTAAAAATGTCCACCCGTGCGACGCCGGGATGGGCCGCTAGTCTAAAATAAAATCATACCGATGTTGGTGTAGACGAGGTGGTCGGGCGGGTAGTGGTAGTGAGGGTGCGGCGGCGAGTGCGCGCGCAAGTACGGCGGCGTGGCGGCGTAGCGCGCGCCGCCCGCCGCGCCCGCGCCGCCGCCGCCCGCCGGCGAGCCCTCCTCGCCGCCCAGCGCCACCGTGCTGTAGCTGTCATTGCTGAGCTCTGTATACACAATAAGTATATTTTATTATTATTATTATATCCGTCAAGGATATTCTTCTCTAGAAATCTGTCCGATTCTAGAATAAGGGTATGCGACCCCGGCCACCTGAGCCGCTGCAGTGTCTTTTCCGCAACTGCAGTGTTTTCTCCCTTCCTTTCTCACATAAGTCCCTTATTCCTCTCATTTACTAATTTCTTTTACGCATTTCCAACGTTCCCTTCCTTTTTTCTTCAAACCTTTCTTTCAAACCGTCGGTAGCGAAAACCACCAACAAATGCATTCCCAAAGAGGGTTGACGTCAGGTAGGCAGCCGGTCGTAAAACTATAAGCCAAGTCCTATAGTAATATGGATAAAACCATATTACGCCGACCTCAAATAATAATTGGGATAAAGGTAAGAAGATGATGATGATTATATCAGCTGTTAACTGACTTTGTATTTATTATACCGGTTACCACGCTTGGCAGACGGGTTTGCAGCTGCAGTTAGGCATTAGTACTTGAAAGCTTAAAAACAGCAAATAATAGCTGGCTCTTATTGCCAGAATTAAATCATTCGAAAGCCTTGATAAAACCCTCCGTTTTAAAAAACTACACAAAAAAATTAACTCGCTAAAATAAAAATAATATGTATGAATTAACAAGGGCTCTAACTGGTTACTGCAGATTTTGTAATAATAAGTAAGAAACGCCGCTGTACATAATTTGTGGTTATTGTTCATTCATATGTACGTGAGGATATCCGCAAAAGAACCAAAGTCACCAACATAGTCCGAAGGATAAGCAAGCTGAAATGGCAATGGGCTGGTCACATAACTTGAAGAATTGACAACCAATAGAGAAGAAAAGTTCTTGAGTGGCGACCCCATACGGGCAAACGCAGTGTAGGATGACCTCCCACTAAATACTCCTATATCTAGTATATAGATCTGGATGTAGATAGATATGGATTCTGATAGATCCCTTACCGACTGCATTGAATACGTCGCCATAATCATAAAATATACACTACTATCAAAAGTCAATTGCAAAACCACCAAATAAAGTAGTTCCTATATCTGGTAACGTTCAACACTTCAATATTATATGTCCAAGATCCAAAATTTAAATATTTACATTCACTTGAGTGTAGACAATAAAATTAATCCTAAAAAAAGTGTTTAGTAGGTACACTTACCATTATGACTAAAGGAGTCCAGATCGATTTTGAGTTCATCTTTATCGAGAAGACGATCATGCCGAGGGGAACCACCGCCACTCTTCATGGACCTGAAGTATTGTGACCACCGTGTACGACCGGCATCTTTCTTGAGGCGTTTTTCCTTCGCCCGTCTGTATATCAAATAATAAATTTATAAGTGATTTTGTGTCTGTTGGTCTCTTTTTATTACATTATTAACTTATCACTCAAATGTTATTGATAATATAAAAACCGAACTAGCTTCAAGTCTAAGGTACAATTGTTATCAAAAATATTAAACCACTAGGTATTATAAGTGGTAGACTGAAAACTATTAGCACCCTTTTTAAAGCGTTTTCCCAGTGAATTTTTACGAAAGAAACATGAATCTAAAATAACAATTTGGATAAACAATTCAGAAACAAACCTTCCATCTGGTAGCATTCATTCTTCTATGCTATGATTTAAATTTCATTTAATAATAACACCATTTTATTGTCTTAATTGAAAAAATAAAGCATTTACTTAATTACTACTGTATTAGGCATGAATAAGTACGTAAAAATATTATAGCATTACAGTTTCTAATTAGGATATAAAATGTGGTTTATATAATATTAGCAATTTAAATTATTTACGGAACTTTAACAATATCTACTGTACTAATTGAAGTGGGTAGGTACTTAGACAGTTGTTGAATTCTGATTCCTCGTTATGAAAATTGTTATCACCCCGATTGGTTTCGATTTAAACAAATAATCATGTAATATGTAGCACAAACAAAACACCCCATCGGGTGCGCATGTTATGCTGGGTTGTTATTAGCGAGCCGGCGGGGAGCCGCGCGGGCTTTCAACAAAGAGCTTGATTAATTAAAGTGCCTCCGCCCAGTCCGCTGGGAACCTCGTGCTGGGTTATAGCTCCATCGGATTATTAAAACAACGCCCTAAATTGCCTTCTTTGAGGGAACTGTTGAGAACGCATTTCGTTTAACCTCGGTCTCAACTTTACGAGACATTTTGAAGAGATATATCTAGAATTTCGTTTTATATCGTGTAATTTAGAAAATATTTTATAAATGGTAATATTAATTTATATGAGGAAGTAAGTGCATCCAACAACTAAACTATTACATTACATTATAATTGTGTACTAGGGTACACAATTATTACGAATTCTTAAATTCTTTTTTATAGTATTTCAATCATACCTATTGATTTAAGCTTTAAATAATTTTTATTCTTGACAGTCTTTTATGATAGCTGTGGTAATAGTGGTCAAATATAGACTGAATCTATAAAAACACATAAATGCCAAAAAGCAGATGATGATTGTGCTTAAGTATATTTAAAGCTATAAAAAAGGAAGGAAAAAATATTTCAAACATATTTTCTTTTTTCATTACGTACTATGACGTAGACACTTGTTTATATAAATGTTATATATGTTATAATCATATAACATGTGCATAATACATTGATTATACAGATATTATGCACTGATTATACATTTAAATTCCAGATTAGATAGGTATTAAACTATGGGAGGACTGTCTGCATGCATGTATATACAAACGAGTAAGTATAAAATATTAGTTTGGGTCGATGTAAAATGGAAAAGTCGAGCGTGTATATCGGCGTAGGTTTACGAGGCGAGGCCAATGTGCAGGGCGTGACCGCCGCCGTGACTGTGACCGTTCGCGCGCAACAAAACATTGTTCCGCAACTACACTATGGAACTCACAAATACCAAGCAACATAACAAACGTTCAATTCGACAATACGCTGTTCTGTATCCTCTATTAACTTAGAAGGTCACAACATGGCAACATGTTCTTTTGTGATGATATCATTCATGAGTCACTAATTTGCTGAAGTTAGCTATTCCGACTGAACGACCATAAAGTATGATCACAATAACTTTTTTACTTTTAATTACAACTATCCTTAATATAATCTTTCCTATTATAGATCAGCAACTGTGTGGTTCCCCTACGAAACAATCGTGCTCCGTCACAATAAGCCAACTGATTTGACATCATCCTCACCTATCATCTCTCGCTGGTAATTCATCAACCATAAACCAATTGCTAAATCCAAGTATTATATAATCTTTACTCATCCCTTTTTTTTTTAATTCGTTAATCTGCATAGATCAGGTTACTGATAAATTATGTATAGTATATTATATTAATTCCCCAAAATTTTTTGGTGATCTCTTTTCCTCTTGTTGACCCTTTAAATATTAATATATATTTTTATCCGTAACTAATATTAGAGAAATTAATAATAACAATATGATAATAGACATAGTGAAATTTGAACATTTTATACTAGTTAGATATAAGCTTAACTGAAATGTAAATGTTTCTACATAATTTTATATTAGTTGCACTGAAACTGCATAGTGTAAAAATATATATTTATTTATACTTTTGCACACATTGAAAAATGTCTACAGGGCGAACTTAATGCCTGATGGCATTCTCTACCAGTCAACCGCCACACCAAACAGAGAGAGCAAATGGCAATCTATTATATTATAACACAACAGTACCTACTCTATATGCATTTTCAACCCCGTTTAGTGACTTGACATTAGTTTCACATAATACAGCATAAACAATCAATTGTTCATTGAAATTTTAACGTTTGGCTGCTAGTACCAAGTCGTAAAATCTTATCATTGTTTACGTCTTGTTAAAGCGCAAACCATTTCAAAATAAGTAGTATTAACTAGCTTTATACCTGTACCTGATATTATGTTAAATTCATTACGAATGTTCGCATTATTCGTTTTGTATGGATATACAGTTGGCGTTACTGATTCTATTAAAAGTCTTGACTAAACATAATTCCGTAACTGTAACGTTTACCGAAATGGAAAATTGATTTAAGGCCATGCCATAACATAATTATACAGGGTTAGTCGGGCAGGTGATTTGTAAAAATCTAGTGAAAGTTGTTTAGTTTTATGAATATTAATAAATTTCCCCGTGAGTTAAAGTCTAAATCTTATTACACAACCCGTTCATTCATATCATTAATTTATTATGAAAGGTTCAAAACAAATTTTTACATTTCAATTGTTTCTAGTGATGTATACTTGGTAGACAATTTAGTATGAACTGCTCAAAAAATATTGGTAAATGCTACACAGTTTTATTTTGGTTAGTGTCTACGTACCATTTCGTCTACTAGGTATTTCTGCATAAAATATCCTATCTATATGCTTAGTTAGAACATAATTTACCTGCGTATCAAATTTGATTGTAATCTAATCCAACCATTCGCATAAACAAATTTCACATTTATAATATTAATAAGAATAATAGAAATTTACCTATTCTGAAACCAGACTTGAACGACGCGCATGTCAAGTCCCGTATCATGGGCGAGCTGCTCTCGTACGTGCCGCGCCGGCTTTGGGCTACTACTATATGCACTCTTCAGGGTTTCCAACTGCTTCGCCGTTATGGTGGTCCGCGGCCTCTTGCTCGCCGCGTCCCCGTCCAGCGATCCTTCCCCGCCTGTGTTGGATCCACTTTAAAACATTGTAAAATTTGACAACAAATAGGGCTAGAGTCGTTTATAAATATTTATTAGCTATACTGCCCATATTTTCATCATTCATTTCAGCCTTTTACTGGCCACTACTGAACGAAAGTCTTCCCCATACGGGGAATTTTTCCAGTAGATGCCACGCTTGGCAGGCGAGTTGGCCACCGCAGTAAAGCTTTTAGAGATGTTTTAAGAGGCTACCCATCCCTCTACATTTAAATTCCTTTAGTCGCCTCTTACGATAACCACAGGAAAGAAAGGAGTGGCCAATTCTATGCTGGGACCACACGACCATGCGAATCAGTATATAAAGTGTTCTATGCATTAAGTTACGATATAACCCACACATCTACCAAATTTTATTCAAATCCATTCCTGAATGAGTAACAGACATCCAAATATATTTATAAATTTTCACGTTTATAATATTAGTAGGATTTACGCTGGATTTTAATTGTAATTACAGTAACACAGTCATGTAATTTGTAAATGTATATAAGTTATAATAACAAGATTTTTTTGTAAATAAATACTTTAAAATATATAATTAACAACTAACCAATAATTCCAAAGATATATTCTAACTCTACTATTTATAATAATATAGATATCATATTTTTTACAAAACGGTAAGAAAGTCTCCATATGCTAATATTCCCTGCAAGATATGGTCCTGTCACATTACGTTTGCCACAATTAAAATAAGTACTTAATGATGTTCCAAACATATTAAAAAAATATTTTTTACCATATTGTTACATAGGTATTTAAGGGCTTGTGAAAATCCGTTTTTTTGGAATAGATTATCTTCACGTTTAGAAACAGATAACAATGTGGTTCTACTTAGGTAGATGACATCATGAAATCTTGCATGAAAAACAAATCAATATTATAATATAAAAATAATATGCCGAACAAAAACATAATTCATTATATTTATAAAATATAATTTATTAATATTCTCTAATGAACATCAATAAAAATAAAAGAAATTTCGAAATCACCTTTTACTCTGGCTGCTTCATAATCAGGCTTGCAAACAAGTTTTCCATCTTCCATAAGATAGAACTCATCGCCGGTGTTCAAAGTGCGAGCGCAGGCGGCGCAAGCGAAGCATCGGAGATGGTATACATGCGCCTGGGCACGGCGCACCACCTGTGTTGGTGGGATGCCCTGCCCGCAGCCTGCGCACTTGGTGCCAAACCGCCTGGGACAACAGCCGCAACAACAACAACATTATCAACGTGGTAAATACATTATAAGGCCTCAAATTTCTAATTCACAAATGCTTTAAGGCATTTTTTGAGACATCAACATGCGAGTTATTGTTAGGGAAATGACATAACTTCTTTATCTTCAGGAACAGTAATGCTTCAGGGGTACCCATAGATACTATGAGCGTAACACTTTACAGTAATGTGTCCCTGGCGATATGCGATGTATACATAGGCGAGAGCGACTACTTTTTATTACGTTTCGAAAAGCTAGTAATTTTTTACGAAACGTCTATAGCTTATATTGAATTACTAAATCTCTCTACTTGTACAATACAGTGTTTACTCATCGATAAATATTCAAATAGTAATAAATAATGACATTAATTAATTTTATTTGTAACCAAAATGTATGTTATACAGACTTCATGGGCTTTTTATAAATTAAGAGAATTAGAATAATAAATTAATTAATCTCTGAACAACATTTTATGTTACGGTAGTATTAATTTCAACAAACTCATCAAATGTTTTATTATATTTTGAAATAATTTTATCGATAAATACATGTATTCCCGAATAACTATAACCGTTTACTTAAAAATGTTCTTTCAAAAATTAAGTCGCATGTTCAGTAGAACTTTACCTATTGTGTGTTCCTTTTATATACATACAGTATACACATATGTATACATGTGTGTGTTCTGAACTGTTTGTTTTCATTTTCACGAATCTCTATCTAATATGGTTACGACTAAAAATTTACACACAAAAAGTATAGGTAGTAGTGTGTAAAATACTTCAAAAACTAATTATTTACTGAGATACATACCTATATAGTAACGGAGATTATTTTTTGTATCTAATATTCCTACGCTTATGTGGCGAAAATGAAATGATTACTTGTTCAGTGTTATTGCGTCATTCTAAATAGCCTTATTAGGAGATAATAAACAATTTTTCTTATTAACTAAAAGAATACCCTACCTCTTGCTGTTTCAGATTGATTTTGTTACAATGCCTGCGCAGCGTAAATAGATTTTTATTATTTTTTAAAATTTAAATGAAAATCTGACCAATACTCGTTTTCATAATTAAATAAAGTTAATTTGTTATGAGAAAACATTCCAATATTATGTATTGATATAAATTTTGACAGACTTTATTCCACATTTGATCTTATGCTAAATTTATAATAGAAGCAGAGTGTAAAAATAACATTAGATAAGTATAACAAGCTATACTCAAATACTCATACTCTCCTCCATCATTTGATATAAACAAAAAAATATATAAAGACTTACATTGACACAGGATCTAATGATTCTATTGTATTTAGGCACATCTTAATGACACAATACGTAACAGCTATAAGACAAATGGCCCGAAATACACGATCCAAGCGATTTTTAAAGCAATCATAATCAGTGAATAGGACTTTAGCAATGATAACAACATATGGATAATATTTTTTATATATTTCCAGTTATTGGACCGTTTATATTTATTAATATCTTATCTCATAATTTATCATTTCAGTTCTGCTAACCCCTTGCGTATTCGAACGTTAAGATCTATATACCTAAGCAATATACTATCATCAATCATAGTATTACAATTGATCACGACTGATGTTTACATTGTTTTTTGTTTTTTTAGTGAATATTCCGTTCCCGCTATTTAATTAGTGTAATATAACTAAAAATGTAAAGAGAAAAGGGTGACTATTATAATATATTGATAAACTTAAAGTACAGGTTGTAGCTGACGGTATGTGTCCCGTCTCGCATGACCCATTTTCGAATTTTGCACATCAGAAATAAATATGACTACCCTAGTCATAGTTATAAAAAAAAGTCCAAATAAAGTAAAAAAGTCTGGACAAACTATATTTGCAAATAAATACTTATGGGGTCAGTACTTCAGATGTATATAAGGCAGAGAAATAGTTACAGACTTGACAAACAGGAATAAAATCAAAGACACAGAATATAGATATCAAGTATCTATTTCAAACAAAACTTCAACACAATGACTATGTGAAATTTATATATAAGATAAATAATCAGTGACTCGGAAATAGGCCAAATATATCGAAAAATTTCTTAAAAATTTATGAAAAATTTAACATTTAGTTCAGCATTAAACTCTTCTCATGCCTTGTTCTATATGTTAACTTCCAATTTATTCTATAGAACAAATTTCTAAATTTAGAACAAATTTAAATGTAACTTTTGTATGGGAATGTTTTTTTTATACATATATGAACATTGTGTACCTATACTTAGACGACGGTCATCCTCCTATCTAAGTATCGTATTAAAAAGTCCACTCACCGGCTAAATAAGTATAAGAGGTAATCAAAATCATACCTTATCTTTTATAACAATTAGAAATATTATTGAGCACCTTTAAAAAAATATGAGTTTCTCAATTCGATTAATTTTTTTTTTTATATTTATGTTATGATCAAATGATTTTAATAATACATTTTGCAATCTGTGAAGTACTTATATAAGGGACTCGAAATAATTTATATTATTTTTAATTTATACTATGTGCGATCAATAAAGAAACAAAAAAAAAAGATATTAACAATACCAATAATTATATTTTCTTAATATTTTATGCAGATAAAATATGAGATTTTTTTATTTAAGAATGCAAATGGAAGTGTAGTGCTGGAATTTTTATCAAGTTGGTTTATCACGAATAATAGAAGACTGTTGACAGCGATAAGTTCACGGAATCCGGTATACATAATAGTATTTGCTTAAAAGGGAACATAATGCTATTCGTTATCTGCAGTAAAATTTCCAAAATAGTGTTGATTTAAGTACAGACAATGATATGATTGTTTTAGATTTTAATATCTATCAATTAAACAAGTTTTCGACATATTTTTTTACGATGAAAGACATCAGTTTAAACAAGAAATGTTTTTCATGGAATCATAAATCGTATTTCAAATGACTTGGCAACCATAGTGACTTAAATAAGCTTGCAAATTTATTTCTCGATAAACATTACGTCACCGGCGATCATGTATGATTTCCGCCTACCCTAATAAGAAACAAACGTGATATATATATACGTATATGTGGGTAATTAATCGAAATTAATATTACAGTTATGTACCTAATGAAAAATACTACTTTAAAGCTTAAGAGCAACAAGTTCGAAAAAGACACTTACTTGAAAAAGTCATCTGTACAATAGAGTTGGTTGTTCCTAGCGAAGCACTTCCCGGATAGCATAGCACGACATTCAACGCACCGGAGACAGCCGGCATGCCACGTTCGGTCCGACACCTTCAACACGTACCGGTCCACTATCATCTCGTGGCAGCCACCGCACTTCGGGATACTGGCTGCAACATTCCAGCAGTTTATAAATACCTATTATATTGCAAGAGGGAAATTTTACACAAAAGCTAATCTGCATTTTGTCACTCTAGTCATAATCTATATAGAAGAGCTATATCTATATAAAGACCAGACGCAGTCTTCTCGGGTTCGAGTTTACTCAGGTACCTCTGTCCTATTCGTGTTTCAACCGTGAAGCAGTTGTATTTGTACGGTTGTGTTTCGGTTTGAAGAGTATGGCAGTGAATTTACTTAGTCCCATGAAATAGTAACGCATCCCCTGTGTATCATGGTCAAAATAGTATAATCTATTCTGTCCACAGTCTATAGGCGACGGTAACTACTTTCCATCAGGTGGGCCGTCAGCTCGTTTGTCATTCTAAGTTAAACAAAAAAAAACCCGTGTGACATAATATATAAAATATTCTGTTCCAGGTGTATCTTATGTAAGATACTTTATTGCTATTAGAAATGCGAAGATTCGTAGTGGTGCATTTATAGATGAAATGTTGGTTACTCTTTCACGTAAAAACTATAGAACGAAGTTGAATAAAATTTGGTACGTGGATAAGTTATCTTCACACTTAGAATAAGAGACGCTTTTATATTGATTAATGCTGGCGAAGTCGCAGTATCCAGTTATTCTATTATGTCGTTATGTGTATACTTAAGTAAGTAATTATGTTACTATTGCCGTATTGGATGCATTTTTCTTAATTTTCGATGAACTTTAATAAAAAGGAGGTTTTAAATTTGGTTGTATTTTTTATGTTTGTTACTTCATAACTCTATCAGTAATAAACCGATTTAAAAAAATCTTCTTTTTTTTTCGAAAATAATATACTTACAGATTGGTTTCATAAAATTTTATCAAAATCGATTCATTAGTTTAATTTAAAATAAAAAAAAAAACTAGTTTTGTCACAACTGAAATCGGTTATATTTTTGTGCAACAACAATTTTTATACTTATCGTAACTTATTGGCAAAAGGTTCATTTCGAATAATTTAAAGAGAAATAAACTATTTAATTGGATAAGTATTGTTGTATATATATGTCGTCATTTTTCAATTCTGTCCATATTCTGGTTGACTAATTTGAACAAAAACCGGTTATTATAATTTTAATGTAATAGTGTAATGTATAGCATGGCGAACTTTTATGTGATTAATGATAAATACTATAAACTTGTGTATAACTTTGTCTCTTCAATAGTTTTCAAAGGGCACGCTGGATAATAACTTTTATGGGAAAATTTTTGATATCTTGGATTATATGTTTAAATTACATGATTGAGACCCCAACATTTCTTGTATACACTAATATATCATTAATACCAACTATACACCTTAGAATTTTTAATATCATTAGCCGTTTTAGGTTAATGCGTAAAAAAATTGCATTTAACGAAAAAAAAATGTTTTATTTTATTGTCCAGATTTGCATTTATTCAATATTTTCTTTTAAATAATTATTTTTGCCATTAATCATCATAACAAATTCTATAAACGATTCAATGTTCTCGCTTACTTTGCACGTGATCATGATTGTAGTGAAATGTGATGCAAGTGCGATCTAGTCAAATATCAAGTGTGATCAATTTTACTATTTACCAACTAATTATAACACTGTGGGGTTCAATATATAGTTTCATACATACCTAACGCGAAAGTATAAAAGTGACATGAAAACCTTAGTTCATAATGAGTATTCAATAATTAATCCGGAACTTGGGCACAAGACATTATAATCAGCTTCATAAATTGGACGATATGTTATCTATGAATCTCGATCATTATCATTTAAAGTAGATAACAAATAATCACTAGTCTAAACAATATATATATATACATATATATCTTCAGACAGGATTACCCAGTGCGAAGTTAGATTATAGGATAGTAATGAGCTTGAAATATCAGAAACTCAAATATCTAGATAAAAACACACAGTATCATTATCTAGAAATTATACTCTGTCAAATTACTTTCCACGCTTCAAGGGATCACTAAAATCCATTATAGTCATCATCATTAATTCCTGCTTAGCTTGGATCAGCAGACCTAATTTGGATAATGGGAGTAAGAACCTTCCATCCTGATAAAGACATCCGAATGAAATAGAAACAATTGTCAGACACTTCAAATATAATAAATTCTTTAAAGTCCTATTACCCAATTACATATAAATGTTAAAAAAAAATGAATATAAGTTTAAAAATAAAATCTAATCCTTTAAACAAAATACTCCGTTAGTAAACCACTGAGCATGCTCGACCCTTTCTTTCTTATTAATAAAAAAAAACCATAAAGTATTCCAATTCTCCATAAGTATTTAGTACATAAATCATAAAAATAGGGTACGTTTTATGAGGGTAAATAGTAAAAATATATTTTTTATACAGTCATAATGCTAATATATTTTAATTTTTTTTTTATTCTACATGGCGTTAACTGCATAAAAACGATTGCTATATATAATTTGTACGAATACAACAAGTAAAGTTTAAAAAGTATTATTATTATTTACAAAATGTTTAGAATAATCGTATATATGATTTTTAAATAAACATTTTCTTACCTAATTACGATAATATTATATTATATTATGTTAAACTGATATTGCCTGGACCTAGACAGATCCACGAAACCGATGGTCTTGTGACCTTGGCAACTGACCTTCACCAAATATAATAATATCAACTTACACGTGGAGGCATGTCCGATAACAAATTTAGTTTATATTATAAAAAGTTACTATAAATAAAGATAATATTATTTTTTAAAGCTGACGGGTTACCTGATGAATAGTGGTAATCGTCGCCTATAGACATGAATAGTACCATGGATATAACAGAGTATACCGAGTCTACTATAATGCACTTCATGTGTTACCATTCGTGAAAACTAAGTTGTTACGTCTCTGTATCTATAATTTCATTGGCGCTTCAAACCGAAACACAGCTATGCCAACACAACTGCACTGCGGTCGAATTATTTTTTTTATACAACTTAGAATGGCAACAAGCTGACGGCCCACCTGATGGAAATTGGTAACCGTCGCCTATAGACATGAACAGTACCATGGACATAACAAAGTATACTGTTTCGCCCATGATACCCCCCATGCGTTGCCATTCCTGAGGACTCAGGTGTTATTCCTCTGTACCCAGTAAATTCACGCCAAACACAAATGGAACAAAGGTACCCAAGCAGATGACTTTTGTACAGTGTCCAGAGGGAGACTGATTATATTATTTTAATAGAGATTAAAATAATATAATCAGTTGGCCATCTACAAATAAATACGACTGTTCAATATTTTTTGTCAGATTTACTAGAATTCGATCTATAAATGAGTGTAATTTAAATTACAAAGGCTACTTTTTTAATTGTATTCTATAGTACAATTGTCAAACCGCTGCGTTGTTGGTGTACATTTACGAGTACATACCCCTTATATTACGTAAGACCCAAACTTTTATACCCACATTATGTATGGATAATTATTCCATTATCGTGAGTAATGTTTCGTGCAAATTGCAATCCTGAGTTAGTGTTGATAAAATAGTACTTTGTTTGTTTATTTATTTACATATTAAATGTTTGTTTACAATTAGTAAAAAAAAATTGTAAAGATATTTACTAATAAAACTTGGGGGAATTTATAAAAGCATGAACTTAAGCCCTAAATACATGTACATATAATCTATAATGCAATATTTAAGTTATTTATTTACTATAATTAATAAATAATAACAAATAACTATAATTAGAAACAGCTAAGTGAAAGTGTCTTAGTAATTCATAATACCTAACTCTTATCACCACAGATTACTTTCATCGGTATCTGTAAATAGATCTAAAATATGTGTTATTTATCAAAATCACACATGTAATTAATTATATGATAAAAAAGTTTGCAAATAAAATTTTAAAGATTTACTTAAAATGGAGAATATGTAGATAAAGCAGGTTAATAATGGATTTTCATACAACTTTTTTTCTTGCTGCTTATTTTGTAAACTTAAATTTTAATTCTTTGCCGTGTTATCCCGGCATAGAATGGATCACCCCTTCCTTTTCCGTGGGTGTATTTTTTTTTAATGAGTGATAATGGTATGCTAACCCCGTCTGCGCTATCGGTATACACTGGCGGGGCACCAATGATAGATGACTGATGAGGATGAAAGCAGGTCAGTTAGCCCATCCTGACGAATTCAACTAGAATTAGCCATGATGGTTTCCAGGGGGAACAACGTGGAGGTCAACCTGACAACCCTGTCATAATATACCCATATTGCTAGTAATAGAGCTATTTTACCCCATTACTAACAAACCCGTTCTCCCCTTTCCATGGATGTCGTAAGAGGCGACTAAGGGAACTTAGTAGTCGAGGGATGGACAGCAGCATCCCTCTGAGAGAAAAGGGATTGTTAGTAATTGGGTCAAACAGCCCCATTACTAGCAATATGCCCTGTCAGGTCGACCTCTACGTTGTTCCCCCTGGAAACCATCATAAATCTAATTAAATTCATCAGAATGGCTGATCTGCTTTCATCCTCATCTGTCATCTATCACTGGTGCCCCGCCAGTGTATACCGATAACTCAGACGGGGTCACCATACCATTATCATCCATTAAAAAAAAAGCAGCGTCCCTCTTAAAACAATACCAAAGCCTAACTGTGTTTGTTATTCCGCCTACCAAATATGGCAACAACTAGTAAAACCCCTTTTATGAGAAAGACTTATGCAATATTCAGCAATAGACTGTTAACGGCTAATATGATGATACCTTACAAAATATTGTTTTATTGTATTACAGAGTATTATGGGAAAGAAGGTGACAGATTAAATATCATCGAATATTAAATTCGACGTCTGAAGCGCAAGCAAAGTCTTCAAATCACAAGTTCAAATTATATTTTCTTCCAAGTCATACTACTTATTACTTACTGTACTTATAACTTACAGTACATTACGAAAAATGAAAGAAGTAAATGA